TTTTTTTAGTAATTTTATTTCTGAGATATAAACAAATATACTTGTAGGCAAAATATCCATTACATCCTGTATTTCAGTATTGATCATAGACTGGGAACAAGACTGATGATGATACATAGAAAGCTACTTTTGCCATTAATGTTAAAAGTTACTACATAGCAAGACTGTGTGAATGAAAGTTTGTAGGCATGTGGATGAATTCTCTTTTTTTTCTGTATCTAATATTACCATAAATAAATTAAATAAATAAATAAATAAATTAATTAATAAATGCATTTTGCCTTAAGAATTATATTTCAGCAAAAGAAATAAGAATAAGAAAAAATAAATAGGAGGGTAGAAAGCTAGGTAATTAAAACAAAAACAAATATTTATTTTTGTCATATACTAGCATAATGTAATTAAAATACAAACTATCGCCACTATTTTAGAAAAAATAGGACTGAAATAATGGTGAAAACTCACCTGAGCTTCAGTCTCTATTTGTTGAATTAATGACAATGTTTTAACTGCAGTAAAACATACCTGTAATTCAAAACTCAGTTCAATTTATAAGAAAATTATTGTTCAAAATACTCATAGAATATTTGATCAAAATGTAAAAGATTCCTTACTGACTGAAAAATCTGAGTACCCTTCACAGGTTGATGCAAAATATAATTTCCAAGGGTAGCATCCAACTCAGTAATATCAGATGGGTTTACCAATATAAGAAACCGGAAAACAGCACAAGCTTGACTAGATTCTGTAAGGCCAGATATGAATAAATGTTAAAATTTCCTATTTACTGTTTTTAGCTAAATAATTCTCAATACTTAATAATAATTTTAGGTAAATACCATTACAATATGATTTGCAGTCATTAACAAATTTCTGAAGACCACCACTCTTGTCAAGATAAATTAAAGCAGCTTCTTTCATTTTCAGAAGATCCAACTTCATTTACTTCAATCTTGTTTCTCTATCCAATCCTTAGATTACAAATGAATGTTGCTGTGAAGAATAAAAATATATAATTGTGGGATGGTTAAATGGGCAATAAAAAGGAAATTAGCAAACTATTAGAATAATGAAACACGACATCTTGCTACACTAAAGAAAATTGAAATACTGGAAAGCTAAATATTGTATATAATATTTCCAATACAGTTATATAATAATGGTGATGAAACCAACAAATGAGAACCCAAATAGATGCTGGATATGAAAAAATATTAATGTAGTTGTACGCTTTTAAGTAAAACAGTATTTCTAGAAAAGATTTGCAATCTTTAAAACAGATTTAAGACATTAAAGCTTAAGACATCTAAGTCAAATAATACATTATTGAATGTAAATCCTATATTTTTAACAGAGACAAGATGAAACATGTTGGCTGGAAAGAAAAGACTACATCATATAAAATATTTTTATATAAATTGCATTGTATTGTAAGCTAAAATATAATTTGTATAAATTGTATTGTAAGCAAATGCAGAAGGTAGAAAAAGCTAATGAATTTGATTAGAATGCTAATGAAATTGATTAAAATATTCCTTATGAAGTTTCTAATGTCAAATGGAGTATGTTTGGAATTCAATTTTCTCATCAAAACTGATTATAAAGCACTTTCCCCCATTCAAATATAAAGCATTGCATTATACTAATATAAATCTAATGATCAGTCTTAAAAATGTCCTTTAGCTTAGGTGATGGTTTTGAGTTGAGCTACTTGGTTGACTTTTTCTTAAATAATAAAACCAATAATGGATCCAAATCACTCGGTTAACTCTTCCCCTATTCCCCAGAAATATAATTTACAGATGCTTTAACAAACATATTATTTCTACATTAAGCATCTAAATAGGACAATAACTTCACCAACTACAGGTTGTCACCCTTCGTACATCACTTTTCTATCCCAAATGCCAATTTCAATTAGGTTGATTTAGATGTTAGAATTAATAAGGTCTCAGCAGGAAACTTTAGTTACTAACAATCATAAGGTAGATGCTTTCCCATCCCTGTATTCTTTCTTCAGCCTTAATTTGTTTTCTTTTTTCAATCCACAACATGACCATTCATATAGCAACTGTTTAAAAGTTGTGAGTGCTGAAAAAAGTCCAGTCCTTGTACTTATAACTGGTCCCCATATTTACGACTGTCACAGTATTTTCATGATCACATTATCAACATTTTGCTTCCAACAGAGAAAGCCAAATAGGCCTAACAGAATTTGGGCTGGCAGGGTTCAGAAAAGAGCCTTTCTCCTAGCTCCTGGCCTTTGGAACGTCATATATCCTGATGTGAAATCTGCACCCTCCCTCCTGACTTTCCATAAGGGCCTGAAGACCTGACTCTGACAGCTGGCCTGGGGCCCCAATGTGGATGTATCATTCTGGAGGTAGTTATTGGATTAATACCCCACCTCTCCCAGCTTGTATTTGGAAACAGCTTGTATTTTGAAAACTAAATTGATCTCAAAAGTGGTAAGTTTAAAATGAAGTAAATTGAAAATTAAGCTCAACTCATTCTCTTAATTAAAAAAAAATTAAACACCTCCAAACTCTTGGGTAGGGTAAGGGAAGCAATACTCTTACTGCTTCCTGTGATCTGTTTAATTTCACCCTTTTAAAAATATCCTGTAACATGTGACAGAAAAAGCTGAATGGATTTTGAAAATGGACCCAGAAGCCCCCTTTAGATGATCATTCCAATGAATGATATTGACATGTCGTCTCCCCCCATTCCTCCCATCTCTCTTGGGCCATGGATTATGGGACATTGTTGTTCAAACTGTTAACTCTTTAATTAATAAACATTCTGTATCTTCTCTTAAAGGTTTATGCCTGTTTCTCCTCCTTGAGCCTTCTTTCCGCTTCCCTCCTCTCTTTCATGTATTTTTGCCACTGGCAATGCTGCTTCATTCGTCTTTCATTCGGCAGCAGCAAATCTTCCTCTCCTTCCTCTCTTCCTCAAAAGGACCAAAGCCCAACATTAGATTTCTAACTTGCTGTGCTTGGTAATCCCACTGCCAGTCTCAGTGCTGTACAGCAATCTTGTTCTTGACAAAATTTTCAGCTTTGACAAATTCAAGCATAAGATTTACCTCAGATCAGTTAATACAGGGTTTCTCAACCTTAGATGGACTTCAGCATACTGGCTGGGGAATTCTGGGAGTTGAAGTCCACACAGCTTAAAGTTGCTCAGGCTGAGAAACAGAGCTTATCACTGACATTGATTAGCTATTGTTGCAGTAATGCCACATTATAAGCAAACCTAGAGAAAAAAGCAAATATTCCTTATGTATATAGTCAGCTCATAGTAAAATGTTCAACACTTATCGGTTTGTTAGTTTAACTGGCCTTTTACCTATTCACAACTATTGTTTTTGAAGCATTACCGTGTGTTCAATATACTCCCCCTCCTTTTAATATAGGATTTTAGAAAAAATAGTCAATTACAAACCAAGTAGGAATTGTCGGGAGTGACTGCAAAAAAAGGCAAATGCAGTTTTAGGCTGTATCAATTCAAACAGTTTCTAAACCAATGATGATCTGTTTTGGTTAGACTCCATCATAAGCATTAGGCCTAGTTTAGAATACCATATTTGAGAGACACTGGAACAAATTCAGAAAATGACATAAAACCGATGTCCCCAACCACCGCAGTCTGGTACCAGGTCATGCAAGCGCTGGGTGAGCAAACAATGCCAAGGGGGAAAAAGGGCTAGGTATCATTAGCATATAGGCAGTCTCTAATCCCAAAGTCCCTTTATTAATTCACTCAGTGGATTAATATAGAAATTAAACAAGATTGGCAAAATTGATACGTTTGAGATATTGTAGCTTAGTAGAAGTTTGCTGAAGTCATATTCTCATGCCAACTCTGGAGTATGGAATAGGATCACTGAAGAATAATGCATCATACTCCAACTCTAGTATAGATGTCATTCCAGCAGAATACTATTTTTGATGGTGTGAGCATACTGATGGCACCCAACTCACAACTTTACTTCATATAATTGGTGAGTGATCCAGGAAGATCAAAATTATACTCACACAGTACAGGTAATCTGTTGGATGATCAAGGAAATTCTGCTACCCAAACCAGGCCAGTAACACATTTGGAATTAATCCACATAATCTATATTCTCCAAGATTTTATGAACCGGACTAGCTACTTCATTAGATATGTGGTTTGTGTGAGAAAACTGGATCTTGTATGAGGAACATAATCGATTAAAATGAGCTTACTGGACTCTTTAAGAGTTAGGACTCCAATGAAAAATACTATGGTAAAGATAAAAGTGGACTTTGGATTGTATATTTTGATTTTGTTTGTATATACCATACATCACAGATAGTCTTCAACTCACAACAGTTCGTTTAGTGACTGTTCAAAGTTACAACAGCACTGAAAAAAGTGACTTATGACCATTTTTCACACTTACATCTAGCCCCATGGTCACATGATTAAAATTCAGACACTAGACAAATTGACTTATATTTATGACGGCCACAGCGTCCCAGAGTCATGTGAGTTTTTGTGACCTGACAAACAAAGTCAATGGGAAAGTCATATTCATTTAACAATTGTGGCAAGGTCATAAAATGGGGCAAAACTCACTTAATGCATTTCTTACTTAACAGAAATTTTGGGCTCAATTGTGGTTGCAACTTGAGGATTACCTGCATTTTGTTTGCTACAGTCAGACTGTTAATCAGTGTAATAATAGTATATGTATATGTGTGTATATATATATATATATATATATATATATATATGTATATGTATATGTATATATACACACACACACACACACACAGAGAGAGAGAGAGAGAGAGAGAGAGAGAGAGAGAGAGAGAGAAAGAATAATATCTTCTTGTTAAACTACGTCACAGGTTACCATTTTTTTTTAACATTATTCAAATCAGATTTCCTGAAATAACACATCCTTCTTTTTATTATCTTAAATATATATTTAATTTGTATTTTAAGATATGATTACTTGCATTTTCTTAATCAATATTAATTCCATTTATTAGTGGGAAAAATAAACACTAACAATATTACAATTTATGTTGATTGTCTCAAATACCTTCATCCATTTACTTTGAATGGGACAACTAAACAAAAAAAACTTCTTTATATTTTAAAGTGAAAATAATTTATAAAGCAAAGATTTGATTTATATTCAACCAGAGGCTGTTAAAGCCAAGAAAAAAGTACTTTCTATTCAAATTTCACAAATGAACTGTTTTGAAGCTCATTCTCACCCTCAAATCACTGATTATACTGGGATAAATGGGCATGGATGTCCAAAAATAAACAAGTTATACATTAGTACATTATTTGGGAGCAAATAAAAAGAAATTGAAATTAGAATACAGATAACAAGGAAATAATATTTTAATATAATCTAATTGTAATATATTAGCTTTCAACATAGAAGGTAGGAGTTTCACTTCTATAAATGGCTGTACAGTGATACTTAAATCTTTATTTCTTGGGGAGAAAGACACTTAGCTTCTTCTACAAGAAGAGGAGAAATGGTCATTGTGAGATGTGTTGTCAACAAATATTAAATGATAATTTGCTCCACCATTATTTAACTTAGAAAATACATTCCTGTGTTTGGTAACTAGAATGAATCAAATACTTAAGTGATTGGATAAATGACTTCATTTATATGCCCATCATGATTTACAGTGGCACAGGTTTGCATTAAACCAAGTGATATTGTATATATTATATCTTCTAGTTAGTAAACTAGTATGATTATTGCCAGTTAAGTAAACAAATGGTAGTTAAGTTTATTTTTTAAACAGAAGTTTACCAAAATAATTGCATAGCTGTATTTGAATCATAGAAATTCAATATATTACAAAGCCCATTAAATGGGTGTTCTGATCATAAAGATAGCTGATATAGATAGGTTAATATAAACTGAACGAAAAACAGCTATTTATCTTTGTTTTAAAAGTTTCAAGATTAGGAACTTTTATTTAAATGCATTTTTAAAAATATTTTTGTGCAGCATGTTTAACAGTCTAAAAATGGAATACAAAATGCCCATTATCCTCATAATACAGCAGAAAAAGTTTGTTCTTCAGCAGATCAAATGAGGCACTTGTAGCATATATTTCAGAAACTGTTTATAATCATCTAATTTCATCACTCCACTAGGGATAGTTTTCAATGTTCCAATCTTCAGCTCAATGAAATAAGTCTTCAGAAGGTCGTGCATAGGAAAATCCAATGAATGCATCATCTGCTTCCAGTACACTAGCATTTACAATATTGTAATCAGAAGAAATGCAAATGGAGCAGGGTACCATCTCTTCTGTAAATGTTGCATCAAAATTCCTGATGTCATCTGGACCAAACTAGAAAATAAAGCATATGTAAAATATTGCAAGGAAGAGACTTATATTTCCATATATTATCAATTTAAAATGATTTTAAAGATTTTTTCAACAAAATAGTTTAGCATGTACAGATACTAGCGTATCTTGTTAAGCAGTAAATCCACCTGTACAATTTGATTTCCAGTTATTCTCTCTGTTCTGAAGGCAGTGGAGAAAGGAAACAGGAATTTATTCATTCTGATTCTATCAATAAAGGGTAATAGTTTGTTGTTGTTAGCTGCGAAGTCATGTCCAACCCATTGCGATCCTATGGACAACGTTCCTCCAGGCCTTCCTGTCCTCTAGCATCTTCTGGAGTTGTTAATTGTTGGATACAGTCTAATATGCACAATATATTACACAGACACTTGTTTGTTTCTAGAAATTATGCAACAATCAAGGAATAATAATTCCTTGAGATAATGCAATACTATGTTCAGTTTCTATTCATCCCTTCCTTTCATGATTTTTTTCATTCGTCTTAGCTATGATGATTTAATGAATAAGGAGTGGGAATTGGACCTACCACATTAGGATTAAATGGTGGTGGAATCTTTTTTTGTAAGAGATCATTCCAATTGACAGTTTCAAAGAAGGGATGCCTTTGAATTTCAAGCTGAAATACAAAATGAAGGTTAATATAAGCTATATAATAATTTGTCTTAAATGTGTCAGAAAACTTGGTGTCATTCACAAAAAGTTAACAAATATTCCTGTTCTGATTAAAACCAGGTTCCAAAAGATTATGGATCTTGTGCTGAATTTCCTATGTATGATATTATTATTTTGGTGACTGTGTATTAACACATATCAGTTTTAATTTTTGAAGTTATAGGGGCAGAATCGTGTATCCTTAATAATAGACTGTGCTTCTAATACTGTAAATGTAAATTGTCCCAAGGTGCTATTCATTACTAACAAAGCCAGAGTACAAAAGGGAAGGATAGGATGGACATAACTGCCTTACAATAACTTGCTTTAATACTTTCTCATAATGCTTTCTGTTCACTGTATAATTTCAATTTTAGAAACTGCTTAATTTATTCTTAAAACAGATAAATTTTAAAAAAGAGAGAAAAAAAGCAATCTGCAACCAGAAGGAAAATCAAATGACCCAGATATTTTTAGAGTTGCTGACTATTTAAACAAATATATACTTAAGTATTTTAAAAAATGAAACATAAAACTAAATGAAAGGTTTCTGATATCCGAACTCCAAGGGAAGAAAGTGTTGTGATGAGTTAGCATGAGAGCCTTAGAGGAATATCAGAGATATTCCTCCATCGGTGAATACTTATATGTGCATGAATATCAGGGCAGCAGAATAAAGCTAGAGCTGTTACTAACCCCACAGCTGCCCAGCAGAGAATGCACAAAGCTCTTGGATCTCATGTCTGATGGTCTGGTGGGGAGGTTGCCTAGGCTTTTACTGCCAGGTAACTTCAGTTTGCAAGTTTATACGTTATGTTTGTATGGATATCAGAAGTTCATGGCCTCTATGGCACTATGAGTATAGAAAGGTGATAATTACTTCTTGAGAAAGGTGAAGATACAGCTTGCCTTGAAGGACGTAGGAGTCCTAGTTGGTGAATTTTAAGTGGGCAGTATTCTGGAGAATGTCAGTGCTTCCACCAGTTCCATGTCCTTCCTGGTTGGCCATGGTTCCCAGGAGATTAAACAATTGTTAATTTATCTTTAAGTAAGAGGAGCATATTGTGTGCATAAAGGAAGTAGTGATGTACTACCCCTCCTCAAGATGCTATTGTTGCTTCCAACTTTCCCCTTTTGGATTCTGAATAAGGCAGCAGTTCAAAAACTGCAGTGTTATTATTGTATATTTTACAAGTTGTCCTCAGTTTACGACGGTTAATTCAGCAATGGTTCAAAATTATGACAGTGTTGAATGAAGTGACATGTATCTTCCTTCCGAAATGCCAACCACTGCAGCAACCATATAGTCATGTGACCAAAATTGAGTCACTTGGCAGCACACCTGCCCTTACAATTGCAGGAGTGCTGCAAGTTGGCTAGGCCCACTGGGACGTAGAAACCTGCCACAAGCTGGGAGGCCTTGGCTGGCAAGGCCCACTAGCTCGCAGACCTTCCCCCTCCCCCACCACTTCCAGAAGGCTTGAGTTTTCTCCCTGCCCCGGGCTTGGGCTAACTCCCTAAAATGGGAAATGTCAATCAATCCTATGGAGTTTATAAAAACTCTGAGTATATATACATATATGAAATTCAGTACCATAAAAGCTCTGCATCTATATCAAACACAATTATAATGAAGATGGGCAACATTCTATAAATTGTTTAATTATTAAAAACCCACATAAACTTTTTTATTTGGCAACACCTCATGTTGTTTAACTCTTGATTCAAATAAAATTAATTATGCTTACATCCCATCCAAACCAATGAAGATTGGGCTAATCTTCAGAGTCACTTTGCAGTGAGATGGATGGCAAATAAATGTAATAAATAAATATATTCTGTATGCTGGAATGAAATGCAGTACCCAAATTTGATTATTTAAATATTTCAGACCACCTATAATATTTTTAAGGAGGAACAAATATTTGCATTTCATGTAGTAACAAAATTAATTTTTTGAAATGTTTTTTATTTACTACTTGATTTAAAATCAGGTATTTTACATACAAAGTCTTCTTTAGATCCAAGTCTGTTCTGTCTCTCCTTCTCCAAGAGTTCTTCCAGAATAGACCAAGCTGTAAGACTGACGCCTGGCCTTAAATGGAGAGGTTTATGAAGAATGTTTTCATACATCTCAGCAACATCACGGCAGTAAAAGGGCGGCTGGAGAGATTGTAGGGAAAGATAACAGAACAAAACTAATAGTGTACTTGTTCAAGAAATGTAAGGAGAGCAAGCTATTGCAATGATCACCCATGCTACAGAATATTCACCCTCAAAGAGAAAAGCAGCACACTGCTTAACAAGTGCATGTCATAAAGATATGAAAGATGATTTGTTTTAGGATTTGAACCATCATTTTAAAATGTGCTTGGTACTCATGGAACAGAACAATTTCTAAACTGCCTCAAGAGCTTCTTAGTACCAAGGATTAAATAAACAGGGGATCATTTAAATTAAATACTTTCTCTATCTGATCTAGAATATATTATAGTTTCAAATTTGACACCAGATCCTGAAGATAGCCTATTCAAAAAAAAATTAGGAAAATAAAAATTGTTGATGGATATTATGTTATAAAAATAGGTCCATTGTATTAAATTTACCACAAAGAAGCATATTCTCAGGTAACTGTGTTTTTAAGAAAGTAACCTCACTCAGAGTGATCTGAAATAGAACTGGTAAGAAACAATTCTCTGGATCATAGGAGAAAAATAACTTGGTTCTAATTGGCAATATCTGCTATTGACGTATGATGCTTTTAAGGATCTCAGATCAAAATCCCATTGCATTGGATGTTATATTCCTTTTTTAATCCAATATATTGCTTGTGACAAATTGCTTGTGACATGATGGATAATATTCTCATTTAAAATTAGTATATATGCTTTATTGATGTAAGCAAAATATTTTTATAATTGAGATAGGAAGCAAGTCTGAGGTATGAAGAAACAGGCATTTTTCTAAAGACCTAAAAATGTACATTTTAATATAGTTACTACAAAAACCAAACAGGATCTCTGCTATCCTATTATCAATGAGGAATGAAAGAATAAGTGAAAAGATGTTAGAAATGTCCTAGATACTGTCAGCTTTTTCTAAATGATCCCATTCACTTTAGGAGCCAAATGCTATCATTGCTATTTCATTTGTTTATTCTTTTATACTTGGTGACATAATCTGTTCCACAACAGCCAGGAAATTGAGAGAACATCAGAAGCAAATGACTAAACCACAAGACTTGGCTGGGAATAAAGTAGCCTATTCACATATATGCATTGCAGATGCTACTATGTTTTTAATATTTCTATGTCAAAAATTAAAAGTTAATTTAAGCTTAATTAAAGTTAAGTTCATTTTGAACTTAATTCTACTAGATCAGAATAAGGATCATTTTAGTTAGTATTCTGTTTCCGACAGCAGGAGCTAAAACATACACTAAGAAATTATTTCCTTCTAGTATTTAGTATATATATTTTAGGCATTGATTCTAGTATATATTTTTAGGCATTGATATGCAGTTTGAAAAATTAGATTACCTACCAGACCATACAGCATTTCATACAAAACAGCTCCAAGACACCACCAGTCTACAGTGTTATCATAAGGTTGCTTTCGGATTACCTCTGGAGCCAGGTACTGTAAGGAAAGAATAGCTCCAACCAATCACTAAGAGGCACAAATGCTTTTGGGCTTTTATGGTTTGTAGTTTTATTTTAAATTTGTTAAGTTAAGTTTAAAACAATTCTTTTTAAATAATAATAAACAAACAAACAAACAATAAATAAATAAATAAATATAAACCCAAAACTTCTAAACCTTGCAATGAGCCTGCTAGCTACTCTAGCCCAAAGCTTGGAGGAAAAGATCCTCATTTGAATCGGGGCATGATGGAGTGCCATAAAAATCTAGGGGGAAATTATGTTGTGAACTTTCTTATGATATTGATAATTAGATAACACCACTACAATACATTTTGTGCAACTATTGGCTTAGTTTGGTTACTATCTTCCACAACTTTCTTAGAAAGAGAGGAGAAAGAGTATGCAAGTAAATTAACTTACCTCTGGAGTTCCACAAAATGTTGCAGTAGTATCTGATGTAGCAATTCCTTCTTTACAGAGTCCAAAATCTGTTAAGACAACATGCCCCTGCATTGAAAATTGAAAATCTACAGTCAAACAATCAAGAACTTTAGTGATTGTATTATTTAAAATTTCTTGGATAACAGAAATAAATATTTACGGCCTACCAATGAATCCAGAAGAATATTTTCTGGCTTCAAATCCCTGGGCATAAATGAGAAAGAAAGAAATTCACTGTAAGTAAAATCTCCAGCAAGAATCATGCTCCTGTATAACTATTAATAAGAAATAAACCAACAAATTATAAAATGAAAAAGTAAATATATATTAATAGAAAATGATTGTATTTGTTTCATTTTCCCTTTTAGTCTAAGTCATTACCTGTATACAATTTTTATGGAGTGCAAGTAGCCCAGTGCACTGGCTATTTCAGCAGCATAAAACTTGGCTCTGTGTTCAGGAAAGGTACGTTCTTTTTGTAAGTGAAAGAAGAGCTGTAAACATGCATGGAGCAGGTTAAAAGAAACTGTTATTCTTAATAATAAGGTTAACATATTCTGCAGTTGTCTATCAACAGCTATCAAAACAGTGAAAAAAACATTATGTATTCACATCCATCCTTTAATCAATTTCTTGTTTTTTCACATCTGTAGCCTTGGCAAGCTACAGCTGCAATTTCTAAATAAACTACTACAACAGTCTAGTTTACACATAACCACAATCAGCAATCATGATTTCGAAGCTTTTGGCTTCACATTATTTGTGAATGCTACCCATGTTTCACTAACTTTTGGTTAATATAAATCATGAATATAATATTTTTACACTAAATATTCCATGTACACATAAATAATGCAATAAAGCAATAAAGCAGCCTAGCAGCAAATTAATCTGTATTTGCAATGTGGGAATCGATTTATGTTGAACCACTACAATTAGTTACTGCAATTTCTCTTAAACTGCAGGCCAAAATTGATGACATATGACTACTATATAAAGACTGAAAAGTATACCTACCTCTCCTCCATTAACAAAATCCAGAACAAAGTACAGCTTCTCTGTGGTTTGGAATGAATAATGCAGTCCAACTAAGAATGGATGTTTCACATTTTTCAAGAGCACATTGCGTTCAGCCATGATATGTTTTTGCTATGAGGAAATGAAGGGTCAATAAGTAAGTAGGAATAATTTTGTAATTGGAAGGAAAAATAAAATCTCTTCCCTTTTACCTCTTTCCTGTTTAGGACAATTTTCTTCTGCAGCACTTTAACAGCATAGAACTTTCCATCCCGTTTTCGTTTTGCAAGAAGAACCTAAAGAAGAATTTTCATAGAAAGTCTGTTCCTCCCTGTTGAAGAATTCAAGTAAATTTTTCCCAGTTCTTAGAAGTAACAGCTATATAGAGATAATGTAGTGATGTTAGATTACTTCTAATTTTTAAAAATCACTCTTGAGATTCCAGGGATTGAAACTGGAATCTTTGATAACTGAGGCATGCAGTTATAAGTTTTCTTTTCATATCATCAACAAAAAGAGATATCCCACCCATAAAACAAAAAAAATGTTCAAATGGAGTGGTATGAGCAAAGAGTATATAATAATAAAAGGAAACCTACCTTACCAAAGCTGCCCTTCCCAATAACTTTCAGGAAGTCAAAGTCTGTTGGTTTAGCACTGGAGTGGTTTCAAGGATAAAGAAAAACAGGTAATCAAAATGATAAAAGGTAGCTATTTAATACTGTAGTTCATCCTATCTTCCCAGATTCCCCCACCCCAATAACTATTCCTTCAGTGTTCACTGTGTTCTCCATCACAGTTCAAATGTAACAATCACATATTTGCTGTATTTCAGTCTTCTAGAGCACCAATCATTTTACATGGTTTTTCTTATTTTATGCTTGTACATTCTCATTATCCTCCACATAACTGTTTCTTTTACTGACTTTCCACAAATTCATCCTTTTCCCTTTTTATTTGTACTCAATAACTTGCAAGCAATATTCTCTTATTTCCAAATTACAACAATTTCTTCCTAAACTTGCCCCTAATTGATATTACATGCAGGGTGCTCTTTACTCCCAGCCCCCACTTTAACAAAGTAATTGCAAAAGCTAATTTATATTTAACTAAAACCTACTGAGGATTTCCAGATGGCCCCAAGTTGATATTCTGTGAGGTAGAATTTAGCTGTTTAAAAATAAAAATATAAATTAAACTCAAATCAAGTTTATAGATAATTCATTAGTTAGAAAAAAGTCTAATCATAACATTTTAGATTGCACTGTAGCATACTCGAATTAAGTATTTTGGGGGAAAGAAGTCTTTCTTGTAACTTTGTGTTTAAAAGGACAAAGGTTAATTACTGTAATCCCTAACACTACAGAGACATTCCTGACACCAGTGAGTATAAATTGCTTTTAAAAAAATGTTTCTCAGGCAGTTTTCTATGTTTAGGAGTAAAGTCTACATTCCTGACATATTTCTGTGTGCTGTCCAAAAGAAAATCCACCTTATTTTCATAAACAGCTTTGAGATTGAAAAGGTGATTAAAAACCAAACTCTGAAAAGGTATTTGGAAGGGATTGCATTGAACTCTAGTTCTTTTACACATGTTCTTACTACAGCTTTTGTTGGGATCAAACTTTCCAGACCCTTTAAAAGATTTTAAAAGTACAACTGATAGGATTAATCTTTCTAGACATTTAAGATTAATCTTTCTAGACATTTATTTTACAGATTATTTTTGCCATTTTACTATCAAATTTTATCAGTAGAATTATCCAGGACTCTGAGGTGTAAAAAAACAAAAACAAAAAAAGAAGAACAGCAAGGATGAATGTGACCCATAGACTGTCAATCTCACCATAGAAAGATAGAACAAATGCCTGGTTCAGAGACTGACTGATTATGTCTATACACTTTTCACCTACTCGAGTCCCGGAACACCATAAATCCTGCTCAACTAAAATGCAACTGGAAAGAGTTCTATATGGACAGAAGATGGGCATTGTGGCAGAGACCAGGTGACATATAAGAGCTATGGGTAAACTTGTTACCAATGAAAAATATAGCTGGTACCCAACATGCCTATGTTACTAGGAACAACTTGAATTTGTAAAATGACAATTGCATTTGGTAGATATGAAGGTTATTTTTCTATATTTTGTACAATTATCACATTCAACTGTTGGAATAAATGAATTCATTTGATTAATGGATTAATATGTTATCAATTATTATTATGAAGACAATAATGGTTGTGTTATATTTTTTATTAAATAAACTACTGTTCATCTCAAATGAATAACAAACAAATGTTAATAACAAACTGCTTATGCAAGTGTACATACTAGTGTAAAACTAAAGCAACTACCGGTAATTTACAGAGCACATATTATAACTTGGCCTTGTTTAAATTGTCCTGGCAAGTAGAATCAGTATTGTCTATAAGTAAAAACTCCATTTATGACATGACAAAATCACATTACTGAAGAAAATTATTCCTCTACCAACTCATTCCTCTACCAACTCATCAGATTACAGTTACCTGATTGTTGGCAGGGTAACAACAGAACGTGTCTGACTTATTAAATCTTTTAATAGGACAACAATATCAAATCTGTGAATGATATAAGCATGAAAAAGATAAAATGTGGCAAGACACCCTTAATTATGTTCAAAATCAGATGTGGGTTAAAGCTGAGGTGGATTTGGGCCTATTTTCTAGAGACATGCTATATCTTACAGGTTGAATGCAAAGCTTTATTGATAATTAGACTACAGAAGTCTCTGACCATGGCTGAGTCAGCATTCAATGGAGCTTGCTTGAGCATTGCAGCAGGAAGAAGGCGGTAGTGTTGACATGAACTTTATGTCAACTACTTGATGGTAGTGATTAATATTAGTTACTGCTGCTTTAATTGAAAGAAATACTATAGGAATAGTGGCTGTTCTTATATATTTTCTTTTATTACAAAGTATTGTAGATGTTCTTGTAAGCCCACTAATGAAAATGCAAAGATTCCAAAATGTACAGTATGCTTACTGACATAAAGATTGGCATCTTCACCAGAATATTGGAAGAGTGATTAGATATATATTAAAAATAGTTTAGGAATACAAGGACTCCAAATCTCCAAATAACGTGAAATAACAACATTGTGAGGCTACTATATTTGAAAAGAGCAGTAGGCAATGCTTTATATTTCACTGAAGTATAAATCCAGAGAGACATTGTAAAAGGCCAATAGGTTGATGAAATAAGATAACTTCTATATTTTAAACGCAGGATGCAAAAAATTAGTTACCTTTTGACTGTTTCTTTCATCCTCATCTTCAGATGGATCATATTGGTGCTTTGGATTGTCCATCTGAAGAAATGATCTTACATCTGGACTAGGAAAGATAATTTAACTGATTACATAATGTTTTATTATATATTTTCAATGTGAATAACATATACAACATATACAACAAAACAAAAAATAAATTATGATCATGACTTAGCTGAAAAGTGAAATCACATAGGAAATTAGATAGATTACAACAGAACTAATTAAGTCGAAGCTTCCATTTCCATTGATATAATATATATTAATTAGATCACTTGCGAACACCACCAGGAAAAAGCAATTTCCATTATAACACTTTTGATATTGTTGCCATTTTTAACTTTTAATTTGTTAAATTTTGTATTATAATAACATTAGAAATCACTACCATAATTATATATCACTGAATGAAAGCAGCAGAAATTTGATCAGTTAAAAATAGTTTCAAAGGAATTAACAATCCAAACATTTTCAAAAACATTTTAATAAGCCATAGCAAACTAACAGTGAAGCCACCAGCCCCTTTACCACTGGTTATGTATTCCAGAGAAGCCACAACCATGGGGCAAGTAGAATCTGAATCTGAACTTCTCTTATTTACCTTGTGGACAGGTCATCACCTATTGCAGGGGTCCCCAACCTCCAAGGCCATGGCACACAGCTCAACTTTCTATCTAATTGTAACTGCCAAACTTATTAGGCTTCACTGAGCCACCAGTTCAGCTAGTCCTCAACTTATGACCACAACTGAGTCCACAACTTAGCGTGTTGTTGTGAAAGTTGTAAAGCAGGCCATTCAATGACCAGACCCAATTTTATGACTTTTGTTGATATTTTTTGTGGCAATCATTAAGTGAATGTGGTATTGTAAAGTGAATGCTATAGTTGTTAAATGAAATCCTCAGTCATTAAATGAACCCATTGTTTACAATGAGGCGATTTTTGAAAACAGAAGTAAACTCAATTTCCAGCAAAAACATTGCAAATTGCGGACATGTGATCATGGGATGCTGCAAATGGCTGTAAATGTGGGCCATCTGCCAAACACCCAAAATGCAGCAATGCAACCATGAGAGCTCCTGGACATCGCAACTTTGAATCTGGGTCAGAAATAGCTTTTGAGGTAGGGGGACTGTTTTAATTTTGAATGGTTGCTAATCAACTGTTCATAGCAAATGATTGCTAAGTGACTGGTCATAAGTTATGGAAGAATTATTCAGGAGAATTATTTTAATCAGTCATAAATTCCTTCAATCAGAAAAATTCAAACTTTACCTCTGTGTGAATCAAAGCATAGGATCAGGCTACCAATTATTAAAGGCTTAAGTAATGATTTTAGCAACAATTCTGCAGTGTTTTAAAAAAATATTGAACACCACATCTGAGAACTCTAACCTTGACCTGCCAAAAGCATGCCTTGGTGATCACTTTCCATGTCATTTTGTGCAGCATCTGGTAATCAAAAGTTATAGACATTCTCTTACAATACAGGTAGTCCTTGACTTATGATCACAATTGGGACCAGAATTTTCATTGTTAAGCAAAGCAGTTGTTAAGTGAGTCGGGCTCAAGTTTACAATCTTTTGGGTCGTTTGTTAAGTGAATCATTACAGTTAAGTGAATCAGCATGGTTATTAAGCAAATCCAACTTCCTCCAATGATTTCACTTGTTGGGAGCTGGCTGGGAAAGTCGTGAGTGGCAATCACATGATGCCGGGATGCTGCAACCATTATAAATACATGCCAATTGCCAAGCTCCTGAACTTTGATCATGTGACCATGAAGATGGTTTTAAGTGTGAGTACTGGTTGTAAGTCATTTTTTTTCACTACTGTTGTAACTTTGAATGGTTGCTAAATGAATGGTTGTAAGTTGAGAACTACCTGCATATCATTTAGAAGGAACTTGTGGATTGTCATTTCCACTATATAGTTTACCACATAATTTTATTCTTTTGAGAGCTTAAAAAAAAGTTTCACTTACTGATTGCAAAGGTCAGGCTGTCGCACTAAATTCTGAATGAATTCGTTCAATCCTGCTCTTCTTTGTTTAATGAAATCTGAAAAACAAATGAGAAAAGATCAGATATTAGAATGCCTGCTTCAAAATGTATATATATACATTTCTTAGATTACCTCATTAAAAAGTAAAAAAAATTGCTCTTGTATTTGTAATTAGGGCTGCTTTCCAGCATCCCATAAATACCAGTGGACAGATGAAACAGATTAGATTAGATAATCAGTAGATCCTTTATTTTAAAAATGTCTTATTTTATACCAGAATAAAGGATAACAGAATAACAAGCAGGAAACCTATCCCATTTCAAACAAATGGTTGTCCAATCTCTTCTTTAAAATCTCCAGTGTTGGTGAACTCATAACTTCTGGAGGCAAATCAGATTAATTCCACTGATTAACTGTTCTGTCAGGAGGTTTCTCTTTAGTTCTAGGTTCCAAATCCTTTAAACTATAGATATAATGGTGCACTCACTTAAAGGAGGAGGATATGGCGAAATGGATACTACTGAATACTTTTTTTAAAAAAAAAAACCTATCATTCCTATACAGCTCTTGTTATCTGAGAATATGATAAATACACACACATTTTGATTAATATTAACACGTAATACATTGTCCTGTGTAGGAAATCAGATATGGAAAACCAACTGAAATAAGTGTGGCTAGTAGGAAAACTTAAGATGGCAGGGCATCTCAAATTAGAAACTAATTATTCTGTTACGTTCAGTCCTGTTACACTTGGAGAAACTGACAATAAGGGAAACAATAATTTATAAAAGCTGCTTTGAAACTCAGATGTTTTACCTAGGCTACATAGAATGCAATGAAAGAAGTTCTATGTAATCAGAGATAAACTGGAATTCTTTTCTATGAATAAATATACAAATACTTTAAACTTCCTTGTGTAATATTTTATAGCTTTAGCTAAAATTTTGTTCTAGCGGAGATAATTCAAGTTGAAACCACTGATGCAGAAACAGTTTAAAGACAGAATGAAAACTAAATGAGATTGCTTACCAGGATCAAAATTATCTCCAAATATTCTCTTAGCAGGAATTCTCAAATTCATTGTAGGAAACTGTTTCCTTAGCTGAAACACATAAGTCATATGATATAATTTAACATCAGAAATCAGTTCAACTCTCAATCATGATGTACCAACAATTTAGCAGAAGAAATTGATTCAGAGAAATTTCCCCAACTAATGTGGGCACAACATCCCTACTTACTGTATTATACAGCTTGTCAAATTCAGCATATCGCCTGAAGACAAACCATTCATTAGTGCCAACTGAGACCAAGACTTTGTAGACCTGTTGATATAAACAATTTTAATGAAAAGTTTTATAAAAATGTATGGGATTATTGTATACACATCCCATTTGCTTAATTACTATTTAATATTTAATCAGAAAACTTAATACTATAATAGATGACCCAAAGTCACCAAGTTAGCTTTTATACCTAAGGGAGGACTAAAAGTCACAGTCTCAGCCATCAACAGGCATATAGAGGTAAAACAACACTCACACATCATTCAAAAGAAACAAAAATATTAAAAAGGAAAAAGATCAGCAATCAATTCCCAGATAAACTGGGACTAACACCAGAATTAACACTAGACAAACAAATAGTAAACAGAGAAAACTATACCTCCACCAACCCTAGCAGGGCAAGCTAATATATATAAACAGGGAGCAAACTCCATACTCACTAGCATTGATGTCACCTAGTAGGGTAATAAAACAATTGCAAGCCAATAAGCAGGCTCAGAGAGCACCAAGAACCCCACAGATCAACCCTGAATGAAACTGGATTCATTTAACAAACACATTTCACTTAACAACTGCAGTGATTGACTTAACAACTGCAGCAAAAAAGATTGTAAAATTGGGCAAAACTCCTTTAACATCCTTTCTTAGCAATAGAAACTTGGGTTCCAATTGTGGCCATAAGTCAAAGACTACCCATATCCACATGATTCTCTTGGTTTATCATTTGTATTTCTACTTTGATATTCAAAAATTTAGCCATTTTTTATTTTATATATCCTGTTGAAAGTCTTTATCCAGGTTGATTCTTGGCTTGTCATTTGTTTTTTCACTTTAGCTTCCTTCTCTGTATTAAAAACCACACATTTTTATTATCCAATATTTCTGGTTCTAATATTTCTGCATCAGGTCAAATTTGTTTTCACATCTCTTATTTATATCTTTTGGACATAGTCTATCTATAGAAATAGATGTTTATCCTATACTTTCCCATTCATTTCTCTTCCCTTACTTTCCCATTATTTTCATTTTTTCTGTGTATTTTGATAAACTAATAAAAATTTGAAATGTTGACACTTCCGGTTTGTCGGCTTCGGTGACAGCAGGGATTCGCTTTTCTCCGCGATCCCTGCTGTGCTAGCCGCCTTGGTGCCTCCGATCCTGACGGATTTGGAGGCTAAGGCTGCCCTGTTGGGGCAGCTGAAGAAAGGGGGGATCCAGACAGGGGTTGAGAGGTATCGCAAACCCCCTCCCCAGCCGGCAATAACCCCCTTCTCTCAAGACGGTGGAGCGGCGGTCTTTATGGCCGCCATAAAGAAGCCGGCAACTGGATAAAGAATGTGCAGGAGGAAGAAGAAGGAGTTTTAAAACGAAAGTTTTTTCTTGGTCGAACTGGGACCTTAAGGACATATTTAACACCTGGGAAAATATTGGCTTTTTTTCTGGATGCTACAATGTTCCCGACTGATGTTTTCAGCGGCGAAGAAAAGTGATGAAAAGGGGAAGTTACTCTCCCTCCCTTATGGAATTAACAAATGGACAAGGGAAACCAGCCTTTTAATAGAAGGTAAAACCTAAACTCCTTTGTTATAAGTGGGAAGGGAGAGGCTTGGAAAAAAAATATTTTACTCTAAGACTTTGCTGGAGGAGATGCCTTGAAGATAAAGAGAATAGAAATTAATTCTAAAAAAGATTTAAAGCACAGACTGGACGTTTTTCTTTCCCTAATTTGACTTCACCCCTAGAAGAGAAATTGTAAAAAGAAGAAGTTTGTACTCTGCCTGGACTGTTTGATGATTGTGGGATTTTGGGACTTTTGGGAACTGTTTTAAGTTTGGAAATAACTGATTGGCTTAATAATAAGAAGAGGATACAGAAAAAGAAGAAGAAACAGTTCAAAATGGCTCTATCTCTTGATGAACTAAAAAAACAATATTTAAAAATAAGGAAAGAAGGCAAAGATGTTATGGGAGAAGCCCTTTGTTTCCTAGATATGGCGCTTGTCATGTGTCAGCAAATTAAACAACAGCTGGAAGAAGCCGAGGAAGAAGCCATTTTTAATGAACTAAATGGTGTGATTAAGAAAGAAAGGAGAAAGAGAGGAGCGAAAAGGAAGGACTTAAGAAATAAAAAAATATTTATGAAAGAGAAAAAGAAGATGCAAAAACAACAGAATGCTAGAAAGCAAAAGGAAAGAGGAATGCAACAGAAAGGGGAAACCAAGAAGGCAGAGGTTTGGAGAGGAGGGGGTAAAAAGTTTAGGCGGGCTAAGAAGGAAAGGGAAAAGGGGGAAAAATGTTACAAAGGTATAAAACAAGATGGAGAAAAGAAATTTTTTTTTAGGGATAATGGGTAATGTATGGGTTTTTTTTAAAAAAAAAAAGGGGATTCTGCAAAGTACACATGAGTATTGTAATAGTGGTATTTGTATTATAAGTAGATAATCAGAACTTTTTAAGATCTAATAAAAGACTAAAATATTAAGGTATAACTTTAAAATGTTTAATAATGAATGATATTAAGTTTTAATAAAATACTAAAGGAAATGTTTAAAATATTAGTTTAAATATAGAGTTTAATGGATTAATGTGTTGACTGTTATTGATTTATTATTGTAATATTGGTTTCTGAAATAGTAGAATGTACTAAGCAGAATCTGATTGGGATTTAGGTGTTATTTTAAATTTTAATTTAGGGGAATGATAGAAAGGCATCATACTCTGATTAGTGATTCCAGGGGAAACTATTCTTTTTTATATTGGAAATGAGACAGATGTAAATGGAGAAATGGACAAAAGATATAAAAATATTTTTCTTTAAAGCAAGATTAAATATATAAAACAGAATTAAGATGAGGCAAAAGTGGAGAGGAGTTATATAATAGATATAGAATGGTAAACAAGATAGGTAATGGTATATAAGAAGAGCATGAATTCAATTGAAGTCCATACAAAAAGAGGTAATCTGGGGCCAAGTTACTTTCTAAAAGAAAGTTTTATGTTTTTATGTTTATGTCTTATGTGTGTGTGTTCAATTAAGAATTAAATAATAAAATCTCGGAGGAAGACTAGATGAGAATAATTATAAACAAGCCAGAGGAAAATATAAATGTGATGATTGAATAGCAGATAAATTAGAAAGGAAATATGATTGAATAATGATTAAAGAGAAACAATGTGGAATTTGGTAAAGGGAATTTACGTGTTTATATGGAAATGGGATAAACTATAAGTATGTGATATAAAGCAATGTGTTACCTGCCTTGTAAAGATTTACAATGAAAAGAGGTTTTATGTTTTTAATGTTTAATGATGTTTTGTTTTGTTTTGTTTGTAAAATCAATAAAACTTGTTTAAAAAAAAATTGAAATGTCATACTGTAATTATTTCTAAAAGATCACCACTATCATTATGGGAGGGAGCTGACATAATTCATAGTAGCCCCTCCCTGTTCTGTAAAGTTGTGGTGCTGACAAGATAACCATAAATGTTGGACAGCGCCTTGGAGCCAGGAGGTGGGTTTCCTTTTAGTGAGAATGCAGCTGGATCCCCAAGCAATATGGAGCTCTAGCATTGCAGGCTAAAATCAAACCCTGCAATATATGCTGCACTTCTGACTCAGAAGTGAATGGTCTCAGTTGCCTAATGGCGAATAGTGTAGGGTTATAGGAATATATAGCTGATTTGGAATTGAAGCCTCTGTGGAGTACCCTGAGAGAGATGGTTAAATTAGGCCTGTCTGCTGATTTGTGTAGCATTGAAGTCTCCTCAAACTGAGCATATAAGAGAATATGAAATTTACCATACAATGAAGCACTTTCCGTTTCTATACTTACAGTAAATCTTTTTTTCTTCACTCTGTGCTCATCAGAGCTGGGGATGCTAACACTTGGACAGCTTTCCTTCAGATCCATTTTACGTTGCTTCCGAGCAAAAACTCAAGACCACCACACCAGGATGTAGACAGTATCTTCAGCATTGACTTAAAACACATAGTCGTTTTTGTGTAAACTTAAATTCCATCATGAAAACCTTAAATAAAATGATATGTTAGGAAGGAGCAACAAGAACTGATGTCGTTCCTAAAGGCACATAAAATTTTACCCTCTCTTTTAAAAATTCACTCCTAGCCGACATTTCGATCAAGTGAATATGGAACAAGAGTATTCATTAATTTAAAAGGCTTGGAGATTATACATGCAGACACAAGAAAAAAATTTTAATATCTGAAAATACATTCTACAGAAACATTTAAAACTCTGAAACATTTCTGTCACTACATGTATGTGAACTGTAATACAAAATAATTATGTATTTTATTTGTCTCTACTCTACTGACAAATCTCACAAACCCTATTGAAAGAATAACATATAGTCACATACTGTCATACCATTGCAAGTAAAGAACAGAATAATGAAGGTGGACTTTTATGGTTGACGTTTTATGGTCAAGCAATAAATATAATCTCACTAACATAATTCCAAAATGATCAATGTAGAATTATATTTATGTTATTTCTTCTCTTATCCATTCTTTTCCACATAGCCCAGTATCATTAATTTGGAGAAGGGTTACTAAGACTATTTGCATATTTTCCAATGCCTGCTACTGTCTGCCTACACATTTTTTTTGCTGTATTGTTAAGATAATAATTCAAAATAATGGTTGAATTTGAATATAACACTATACCACGAACATAGTTTATGAACCAACATAACGGGGCTTGGCCAACACAACAGCCCCAAACAAACCACACTATGGTTTACTATAACACCTGAACCCAAACATTATTTCAGAGTAGTTAATTTCTGCCAGTATAAAATATGATACGTTGCAGCCTGGGATTTTCCTTTGAAAAGCTAGATACTAATTATTTCTCTTCTTATCAATAATCCCCAATGGATAGGATCCTAATGTATGCACAGATCAAAAGTAAATGTAAAATGACAAGGCAAATGTAAAAAGACTGCTACGGTTTTAAGCTGCTAAATTTAAAATATGTAGGTTGCTGATGGTATGCTAATGAACATAAAACGTAAAACTTGGCTTCTGAATTACAATATTTATGCAACCTGGCTTGTGACTGTCTGTGACTCAGAGTTAGATCTGCTCAGAGGCTTTCAGATGCACCTAGAAGCTTAGATTTTGGAGAGCGTTCAAACATGTTTGAATAAATAAATAAATAATCTCATTTATAAAAAGATTTATAGTTTTATCTCAAGAGTAGGCTTACTTTTGACACAGGCTGTTGCTCTAAATACAAGAAAAAAGTCTCCTGAATTTAAAATTTAAGCATCAAATGATGAAATGTAAATATCAAATAATGGGCAAAGAAATAAATTTGATGATTCTGGTAGATTAAAAAGAAACTAAAATAAATAGTTCAGGGAAAGAAAATCCTATTGAGAAATTTATTTCTTTATGCAGTCAAACTTCCAACTTGAGAAGATCAAAACTAACCAATTTCAAAAATAAATTACTTCTAATCTATAAAGGACAGGCATACAGTCTGTTATGTAATTATAATATTCTCATACAAAAATACACTGACAGCTAGAACAGAAAAGAAGTTTCAATTTGCTCAGCCTTGAATGTGAAAAAATGGAACTTAGTGCAACCAACACAGAACAATTCAATTCTAGGATTACAGAGTTTGAAATTACATACAATTATATGTACGTACGTACGTACGTACGTACGTACGTATGTATGTATGTTATTTATTTGTGCATATGCTATTAATATACAAAGCAAAAGAGAGGGAAAGTCTTTAAACTGATGTGCTATTTTCTTCCCATGTTACAGAACAGAGGTGATTTAAACAGGTGCTCCACATCACTTAATCCCAATATTTAAATAGATGCCAAGACTATTTTCTCTTGTAAATATTTCAAATCTAAGCTATCAAGTTAAATCATGAATCTCTCCTGCAAATAATAATATGCCTTGCCTATGCATCCGGGTTGGACAGAACTAAACAAATGTAAATAAACATACAAGATCCAAATAAAACATTCCATGCTTTAGGAACGATCCACAAAAAACTTTCTCATGTACCTAATAAAGATCTCCTTGAAAGTAGGTGCAGCTTTAGCAAATTTATTCTGCACATGAAAACAATTAAATACTTAAGAGAGGGTTCAGTTCTTGCCATTTAGATCAATAGATTAAGCCAGGCAGAATAATGTAGACTGCCAAAATTGTGTGTAATAATTGCTTTCCCATCTTCATGTTAATATAATGGAAATGTTAAGGATAAGGCAAAATTTTACTTGTGCTTCCCACGTCATTGAACTCTATAGATTTACACCATTCTTTCCAAACAAACTCTGTCAAGATTTCAGAGCCAGTTGGGGAACAGCCTAAATACAAATGAAACATGAAATATAAATAAATAAACTTAATGGTCTCACTGACCAGTTTACAACACTCCAACAATTATTTTTCAAATAGATTTTAGTAGTGTTATACCAACACCAACACCTGATATTTGATTTCCAAGGATAATATATTTGAAAACAAGATTAAAAAGAGTTGTTCAGGAGAGGTAGCTTTTGCAATGAGCAGCTTTCTTCCACTCTTATGAATACAAGCACAGTACTGTTATCACCCACATGTAAAATAATTCTGGGATTCATAGTCATGCTAGTCTAAACCTTGGACTGAAGACAGGCTTTGTTTTCAAATACAGTGGTATTTGGCAATAAATGAAGGCATGGGCATGAAATATCCTAGTCATCTAACGTTACAACATTCCCCCAAATGATTGAAAATAAAGACATTTCTTTCTCAACACAAGCTCACCTATAATTGAAATGCAATATGGTTCAAGTTTTTTTCTTTGCTGTTTCTGGAAGTGTTATGTATACACATGTGCCTTCAACATACATACAGTATATGTCTGTAGTTTAAGTGTATGGGAAAGAGAATAGCTGAAATTTGCAGATAAGAATTCAGTTTATAAGTGTGATATGTTGTTTATAGGCAACTAGCTTGAATTAATCACTCTCCCTTTCTCCTGACTTTCCTAATGGCAGGTGAACTTTCTGCAAAAGTTACCATCTTAATTTGGCAAGGTGGAGAAAAATGGCTTTGGACCAGATTTTTGTCTGTCCATACATACTTTTCCTTATGAATACTTATTAAATTTAAGGTTATCTTCCTTTTGGGGAAGGAAACTACCATAACCACCACATGGAGTTTTAAACTAAGTCAGTTGTATTAAATATTTCAGTTTGATGCGTCTCAGAATAGCACTATCAGTCTAATTATTGATGCTCAGTTTCTTTGTCACTCATTCTTATGGAGTGCTTTGAGATCTGTTCAGCACTGGAGATACAAGCAACCACATCTGTGTAAAACCACCTTCAGGCACCAAGCATTACGAATTAGTATCTCTGTGGGGATTTGTTTTACCTTGACTTCCTGCTATGCGTCAGCAGTCTAACCCATTCAGTGAATTCTAATAATTTGAATCAAACTCCTGCTTTATAAATTTGGATTTCAAAACCAGCAGCACCAGGTGCACACATTAAGGTGACTGTAAATTAACCTACTGAATGTTATTACATGTTTTCAACTGTATGAAGAATTCTGAGAACAAGACAAAAGCTTTCCTCCAGAGTTGTTCTCACAGTTTCTGACATGTTTGAGACAGTGCCTCCAAAACAATTATGTGAACAAAAGAAATAAAGTTACAAGAACAGAAAAAACATTACAGCAAATATGAGACAAATTCTTTTTTAGCTGTATGATACAGTCACAGAAAGATTTCTTTGGTTAGTTCTTCATGTACTAAAAATCTTTCTGTTTGCATGTAATAATACTAAGTCACCATTTCTTTTTATAATGCAAGAATGCTTAGTACTACTTTTCAAGGGTCTTTTGTTTAACTCCTCACTTCTTTGTTTTCAGTATTGTTTCACTTCCCAGAAATGTCACAACCACCCTTTAAAAAGAAGCAAAATGTTGCAATTATCTTTGGCCATATCATAAATTGAGCAAGACTGTAGAAAATCTGAACTCCTACTGTATTTATCCCACTCCTATATGTAAGCTCTCTTTTAGAGCTCAAACCTGATCATAAATAAGCTTCACCGTATTTAGTAGAACATATTTCCAAGTCAGCAGATTACTTATAATCCAACTATCTCTATACCCGTACTTTGCTACAAAATTATGTGATCGGGCTGTTTTGGGGAAAGAAAATAAGGGGGGTGGAATTGTGCCTCTGCCTACAGCATCCATTGGTATTCATCTGGGTAGCATCCTATCAGTGTGTGAGAGAGTTGAGGACTGTTTGGAAACTGAAACATGAAAAGTGAAACAGTATTTGCTGTGTGAGCAAGAAAGAGACAGCAAGGAGCTGGGCATGGCTCAGCTCAACTGTTCTGTACTAAAGCTGGTTGCTGCTGTGAAACTGAAACTCCTCTCCTCTGCTTGTGTTTTGCACTTGGAACAGATTTCTTTTCAGGTGGGGAGGGGGAGTAGAACTCCTTAGCATCAGAGTGTGTTAATAATAATATATGAAATACTAATGCTCTGACAATCATTTCAAAAAATCTCTTAGTGAGCACCTAGAAGCCAAAAGGAACATATGTGTCAAATTTCAAGTTTGTAGGCTTTACAGTTCTGGAGATTTTGTGATGACGCATGAGTAGTATTTCGCTTATATATATATATATATATATAGATAGATAGATTTATGATTAGTCCTAGCATCAAAATAACTTTACTCGTAAATATAGAAATCGTTGATAGTCTTAGGTTATTAATTACCTCAGTTTATTTTTAAGAGCGAATAAACTCACAAGCAAAAAAAATGTAAAACATTTCATACTTTAAAAATTCAGTACTCATAGCAATAATCTCCACTTTACAGTTTAATTGCAAATACCCATATCCATTCTTTTGTATCTTATTTCATTACATCTTGGAAAACTATGCAGAAAACTAAAGTGACTGTTTTATGATAAAGTTGTCAGCTTAGATTTCTTTAGGTCCTAGGAGTCATGTAATATTATATAACAGAATAGTAACTTCAATATAACAGGACAGACTAAGATTTCTCAATTTATTTCAAATTCTACTTCTATTTTATATGTGCTGAACATTTCCCACTCAAACCATGTCACTAGTTTTACTAATCTTTAAAAATTCACAGGCAGACATGCCCTTTCACATTTTATTTTTTATAACAACAAAACACATTTGTATTTCCCAGAAAATCACTAGTCAGTTAAATGCTGCCCTTTGGAAAGTAATAAGAGGTAAAGACTTTGTTTACTTCTAGGGGGATTGAAAGATTGCCTCATTCTTCAAGAACAGAGCAGAAATAATTTCACTACATAATAACCTCTTGAGGTAACTTCATTCTCCTACAGCCCACGTCTGTGCTTAGTGAGCTGCATCATAGATTACTCAGATGTAGCTACTTCTGGCTCTGTAGGTTTGAACATTAATGGAAAGTATATAGTACATATGACTAAATTGACAGAAGCCATATACATCATTTGTGTAGAACTCCAGAATCATGAATATTTAAATACTTGGGTAGTAAAGGAAAGAACATGGTAAATTTATTGGAGGACATTGTAAAATACACCTCTAGAATAATACCATATTTATACAATCACATGCCAATGGTTAACTATTTAAAAGTACATTTAAAAATTTAAATGTAAAAATTAATGAGACAAATGAAAAGTATTAGCATGTGATTGTATGAACATGCTGTTGTTCTAGAGGTGCATTTTTACGTGGTATTGTTTTAGAGATCTATTTTAAATAGTCAGTTTGGTATTGTGATTAAGGCACCATGCTAAAAACTCAGAGATTGTGAGTTCTAATCCTGCATTAGGCACAAAGTCAGCTGGGTGACTTTTGGCCAGTCATTCTTTCTTAACCCCAAGAAACAGTCAATGGCAAACCACTTCTAAAATCTTGTCAAGAAAACTGCAAGGACAAATCCAGGCAGTTACCAGGAGTCCACTATTATTTGAAGGTGCACCCACACAAAATCACCTGAAATTAATCTCCAATTTTATTACTGCATGCAATTGAAGGACATATATTTTTCCGTTTCCTTTAACTGAGAACAATACTTTATTCTAGAAGACTTTAAAACTGATAATGTTTGATTATCATATTAGCATTTTTATGTATTATTTTTAGATTTACTTGGTGGGATAATATGATCAACTAAAAATCTACCATGTTTCACTGCACTTCTGTTTTCTACCTCACAAGGTTCCCATGTTCTTTTTTAATTTTACTTTTTAGCATGTAGATCTAGGTTATTTTTGAATTGCATATTGTTCAGAAAGAGAGGGTAAAAAACCAAATGACTGTTGATTCTATCAATACTAAGTGCAACCTGAAAGCATCATAACATGCAGCAGCTTATTAAAAATCTCTATGCATTTATTTATTGTTCATAATTCCACATGGGTTTATTCAAAAGTAAAATATATAGCTTTCTGTAATGGTTAGTTCCTTCACTAAACATTTAATGAGATTTAGGACACAGGTTATTATATGTAACCACCCAGCTGCAAGTTTTTCTGTTACCAGTGAAGGGATTTGCCTTCCTGCCACATCAAAGAAAGTCTCAATCCTAAATTGGTTCTAAATGAGAAATAATTAATTTATTTCCTGTCTTCCATTCTTTCTGCCTCTTTCTCCAGTCTACTAGACTGTTCTGGGTCCATTCTACCAAACAATGTCGTTTTGTTGGACCCTGGAGCCCTGCCTTCACTGTGGCTCTGCCTACCCCTTGAAAAACCATTTCTCCAGAGATCTGATGGACCAGTGATGGTATTGTACTGGTTCAGCCCGGTTCTGCTGAGCCGATAGCACCGATGAGCAGCAGAGACTGAACCAGTTCTCTCCAATGCTCTGCTGTTTGGCCCATCCGCCTGCTCGGGTTCCCATACTAATCTTTATTCCCTGCGTTTGAAGCGCAGCTGCTTTGCGTGGCACAGTAGATTGGTGTGCAGCAGCTGCTGAAGCGACGGGGAGAGTGCAGGATTGCAGGAGGCGAGTCAGAAAGCCTCTGTGCCTGTGCAAAGTGCGCGTTTGGTGCTTACGCAAAGTGTGCGTGCACATGCAAAGCGCGCCCTCCAAGCCATACCCACTGAACAGGTGGTAAAAATGTTTGAAATGCACCATTTTGATGGACCTAACAGTTAGCCTTTTATACGGTTTTGAAGATGTGGCTTTGCCTTGAGCCATGATGTTAGGGAGACTCTGCTGGTGATGCAGCTTGCTTTGGGGACTGTTGTTTTAACTAGAACATCATGGGTTATAGTGTCGTTTTATTATTTCTGTCTCATCCAATTCTTTTCATCTCAATTCATCCTGTAAAGGATGATTTCATGGCAATGTTGCATGAAAATAATTACTTACAATCTAAGGAAGCTGCTAAAGAGCTCCATTATGGATCTTATTTCAAGGTAAGAGAAATATATTGCAAATTTCTCTTGGACAGTCTTAGAGTTACACTATACAGATAGTCCAATGTCACAACCTCTCATACAGTGACTATTTGAACTTCTAAGTCCCGAATTAAATAGTACTGGGGAAGCCAGATTCATTTAATAACCATGTTACTAACTTAACAACTGCAGTAGTACATTTAACAACTATGGAAAGAAAGATCATAAAGGAAGCAAAACTCACTTAGCAACTGTTTTGCTTATAAACAGAAACTTTGGGATCAATTGTGATCAATCAAGGCACCCATAATGTTGCATTTTATTACCATGTCATTTAGCAATGGCAATTCTAGTCACAATTGCCATGTGATCTGTAAATGCATTGTTTACTGCTACATCGACACAGCCACCTCCATTTTTTTCACTTGCCTTTTTTATTTGATGAAAAGTTGTAAAAAATGTGAAGGCTTGTTCATTACACCCTTTCCCCACAGTAGCAATTGTTTAGATATTTGAGATACAAGATACAAGGAACTAAAAATGGATCATGATAAGGCATTAATTAGATACCAGTTTTTGTAGAATTTGATTGGTCAGCTATGGATTTCTCACCATTTTAAATCTGGCAGCAATGATATTGAGTTAATTTCACTGTTTTGGGAGGACTGGAGTGTGATGAAATTAGTATTAAACTGTTCTTATATTTTAATCTATAGCTGCCACATCTTCAACATTAATTTAAAAACATTTTTGCTTCTGAATACTTTAGAACATCAATATGACATCCAGTAAGAAATAGGACATACTTTATTATGTCTCAAAAAAAACCAACCCCAAATTACTGACATCTAAATTTAAAGACCTGTATAAAACAGTAGTCCAGTAGACAGTGTCCTATGGATTCCCAATTGCAAACCTCTTTTAAAATATGTGTTAAGAAACTTATCTCTGTACCTGCTACTTTACTACCTGAATAATTATCACTGGAAATATTTCAGAAAATATATTGGTAAAAATAATAAAATGAAGCCATGAGTAGCTTCTGCACTACTGTGTGTAAAATATTACAGTGCCAGAGACTGTAAATAAGCTGTCTCAAAAGTCAAAATATCCCCATGAATAATCTTGTATTTAAAGGAAAGTTGGTTTCTTTTTGAATTCTCTTTCTTGATTCCATATATTAATTTGTTTCTGAGAACTGTCAAAAAAGAACCTGTATAAAAAGGCTAGATCTCATTCAAGCATAATTTTATCTGGCAATTAATCAAAAAATATAAATGTAGAAATAAATAATTTTCAATACATTTTTCTTTACTGCATGTGCAGAAAGTATGTACTGTATGTTTTTCTTACCTAAAATGAATTTCGCTAGTGCAATAGTGTAATATTGACATAGACAAAAATATTTCCTAAAGCTACAAATATCCCAGTTAAAGTTTGTCAGACTTGTTATGATATTTTTTTCTTACCTTGGCAACTTTTCAAAATCCATTTTATAGTATCAACTTTTTTTTAGAAATAGTCCTTTATAGAGAGCACCAGCTGAAAGAAAAGAAGGGATAAGAAAAACAGACACTCGGGAGATGTAGAGTCAAATATAAGTGGGTTTTTAGGGTCAGTAAAGAATCAAACACTTTGCATCACTAACTGCTGAGCCTTGTTTAGCGGCGAAAAAAACCACTCAGCATTTACACAAGAGTTCTTTTCAAACAACGGGATTACCTTACCGGCGTGCGAGAAATTTTGAACAATTCAAATCTTCAGCTCACAGAGAAAATTAAAATAACTCGGTCCTGAGTGACTGGGATTCTTTTTACTTGCTTCCTCAAAAGCAAACAAACTGGGAGGTGCGAGATCTGCACATAACTCAGTTGCGACCTAACTTCTTTCCTCTTTCCCAGACCAAAGCACGCTGGCTTACCACAAGAGAATTGTAGCGTTTTCAAGCTGACATCGCTCTCGCTTCCTTCTTCCGATTTTTATTTTTTTTAACTGCGCGCGACTGGCCGCTAGGGGCTCTCTACTGATGTGGTTAACCGGAGAGGGCGCGCCTCAAATACAAACCACCCCCGATGGGAGACCGGCCGCTTCTCGGCTTCCTGACCTCAGGCAGAGATATTCCTTCCCCCCCACGCGGTCGTCAGATAGCCGCCGTAACCCGGGGCGCCGTCCCTTAGTTTGTAGGAGAGACGCGCCCAATCGCTCCCTAGAGCCGTGCCTGCGCAGGGTGGAGCCTTGCTTTTTCCACCCGGGGCGGGGGGGGGGGGGTAGGTTGATTCTGACTAGGCGCCGCTCTCCCGCCCGAAGCTTTTGCTCACCGCCGTTTCTGGTCAGCGCGGGACAAAAAAGACCAGCAAAATCCTGCCCTGCGTACGAACGTCTCTCTCCTTGCAGCGGGCCGGGAGGTGGCGGCGTCTGCGGCGGCTCCTTCTCCGGCTGCTGTGGGAACAACAGCTACAGACGCCATGAGGTTTCTTTCTCCCAGTAAAAGATCCGTGCCAGGGTCACTCGAGGACGCGTTCCTACGTTGGATTCATGTGACTTTGACACGAACTCGGCAGGACCTCTCGCCCCCTGGCGGATACCTGCCACGACTAAGGAGTTCTGATTTTTGGCGAAAGCAGAAACTGCTGCGTAGTAGTTCAGGTTCAGAGCTTGGGAAATTGGTAACAACTTCTTTTAATCTGTGTGTTTTTAGGACTGTTTGGCACCGTCAAGGACCGTCCCATAGATAAAATGCAGTTGGTCCGTCATCCATCGTAGAACAGCTTCACAATATCAGCAATGACTCAAAATCGCAAGAGCCTCAGTAGAAATTTAAAACATGACAAGAAGCTAAGAGTTTGCTGTCTCACATTTTTTATTTTCCATTATAAATACCTAATCTGTTTACATCTATTTTAAGGCACCTTGCATTAAATAGCACCAGAAAAACACTTGACAATTTAAATTACCCAGATAGACCATTTAAAAACAAAATTGCAAGCAACAAATAAAGGTGCCTATTCATTTGTTTTATTACCGTTGAATTGGGATCAACTCCTATTGGCAAATGCTCACCATTTGATCCATCGTACCTCTTCCAAGGACAACACATTAATGTCGTTGATCCATATTATCCAACTTAACCATTATCTTTGCCTTGTTCTCCTCATCCTTGCCAGCATATTTTTTTCTAGTCCATCTTCTGGCATCATGTATCCAAAATACAGTATGTAGGTTTTGCTTGCTGACCCCATTCCTGGAACATTTCATCTAGAACTTGACTAATAGTACTCTTATTAATTATCTCAGAATCCATATGGCATTCATTTGCTCTTTCTTAAGGTCTGGGACCTAGACATGGCAAGCTGCCTCTTGGGTGGAAAGTCCCATTAATATTATATTTTGACAAGTTCTTCATTCCATTTACTTTACTCAGTAGTGCTGACCAAAGAACATCTGTACTATGAGATGAACTCTCTCTCCCTAAATCAAACTGGATAATATATATAAGCCTAGTTTGGGTGCTTTGGCATCTGAAGCAGAATATTCAAAAGTTCTTCCCCATTCATTGTTCTTGCAAGATACAGTAATAATTAAGATATAATGGTTTAAAGTCATGCAAAATGAGCTGCCTAAAGCAGCTGTGTCACTGCTAAAAGATAAAGCTGGTTTCTTAGTTGTAGGGACAGACAGAGGAAAGTTTTTGAAGATGGTCTCAATTAGTAAGCTGAAAAACAGGAAAGAGCTTAAAACAACACCTCTTTATTCTGTGCTAACTTTCCCCAACTTTCTTTCTGACCCTCTCAGTATGGTCTCTTTTATACAGGTAGAAAGTTTGAGGTAATATTGGATTCTTGGTGCTCTCTGATTTTTTGCCGATGTTTTGTTACCAAGCTAGATAACATCACCATGAGAGGGAGATTGAGTTTACTTGCTGCTTATATGCTGACTGAGGTATGTTAGATGGTAACAGAAAAGTATATATTTTTATATATTAGACTCATCACTAAGTCGTTTGGATCTAGAAACCTTGGGGAATGTTCTATATATGAGTTACTGGATGTTGATCCATTGTGCCATGATGATTCTTCATTTCATTAGTACTCACATGTCTTTTTTCCCCAAAGGATAATACATTTCCCTTAAGCATCTTAACTCATTTTATATAAAATCAGTAAGCTATACTTTAATAAACTTAGATTAAGCAAAAAAAAAGATTAGTGTATCTGAAACTTAATTACAGTATCTCTGAGCCATTTATTTAATTGTGAAGTGCCAATCTGGCAGTCAATATAGGGTAATAGTAAAGTATAAATATACAGTATTTTATAAATTAGAATATAGTATCCTAATCACTTTGGATCAGTTCAGATCATTTATTGTAGTCCATGACCAAAAAGCAAATTAACCTAACATTTTTATTATCCCAACTTATAAACAATATGTATCAGGTAGTTAATAAATTGAAAACAATTATACAATTTTATAATAATCAACAGCAATAGCAGAAACATTGGAAATAATAAAAAGAATTTGGTAAATTTCCAAGTTTCATCATTTATTTGCTAGTAACATAGCAGAATTTGGCAACTATAAAAATACTATCAGGATTACATATCCGCTGTTAGATCCCATGTAGTTTGCATACCGAACAAATAGAACGACAGATGATGCTGTTAATATGGCTCTGCACTACATCCTACAACACCTTGAATCTCCAAATACCTATGCAAGGGTCCTCTTTGTAGACTTCAGTTCAGAATTCAATGCCATCATTCCAGACATTCTTCTAAACAAACTAAACTAGCTAGCAGTACCTGAACACACTTATAAGTGGATCATAAGCTTCCTAACAGACAGGAAGCAGCAAGTGAAGTTAGGCAGAATCACATCTGATACCTGTACAATTAGCACAGCCCCCCCCCCCCCCCCAGGTGGTGTGCTTCCTTCACTTCTCTTCTCCCTAAATACCAATGACTGCATCTCAAACAATCCATCTGTTAAAATCTGAAGTTTGCAGATGATACAACAGTGATTGGTCTCATTCGAGAAAACGAATCTGCATATAGATGAGAGGTTGCACAACTTGCCTCGTGGTGTGATCGGAACAATCTGGAACTGAACACATTCAAAACTGTAGAAATGGTGGTAGGCTTTAGGAGAAACCCTCCATACTACCACCTCTTACAATACTAGACAACACAGTATGAACAGTAGAGACCTTCAAATTTCTAGGTTCTATTATATCACAACACCTAAAATGGACACCTAATATCAAAAAATGTCATCAAAAAAGCACAACAAACAATGTTCTTTCTGCACCAACTCAGAAAGGTCAAACTGCCCAAGGAGCTGCTGATACAGTTCTACAGAGGAATTGTTGAGTCTGTCATCTGCACCTCTATAACTGTCTGGTTTGGTTCTGCAAACCAACAAGACAGACACAGACTTCAGAGAGTAATTAGGACTGCAGAAAAAACAATTGCTACCAACCTGCCTTCAATCGAGGACCTGTATACTGCACGAGTCAAAAAGAGGGCTGTGAAAATGTTTACAGAACCCTCATATCCCAGACATAAACTGTTTCAACTCCCATCTTCAAAACGACGCTATAGAGCACTGCACACCAGAACTACTAGACACAAGGACAGTTTTTCCCTGAACGCCATCACTCTGCTAAACAAATAATTCCTTCAATGCTGTCCAACTATTTACAAAGTCTGCATTACTATTACTATTAATCTTCTCATCACTCCTTATCACCCATCCCCTCCCACTTGTGACTGTATGACTGTAACTTTGTCGCTTTACATTGTCTGTTTCCTAGTATGACTTGATTGCTTATAGTACTCTCTGACTATTATTAAGTGTTGTACTATATGATTCTTGATGAATGTATCTTTTCTTTTATGTACACTGAGAGCATTTGCACCAAGATAAATTCCTTGTGTGTCCAATCACACTTGGCCAATAAAGAATTATATTTTATCATCAATTTAATCATTAAAATTGTGAAGAAAATTTCAACTGCTTCCAAATGACAAGGGCAAAACTTGTCTGTAAAGGGAGCATTGATATGTTTCTTCTTTTAGGACTGAAAACAGAACACTAAACCCTGCTAAGATGAAAATCCTATGGTAGTTTTCAATGTGAAAAATATACAGATATTGACTTCCAGTTTGAGCCTCTTTGCGGACAGACCGAAACTGCGATCATGCGTGGTTTCGATCCGTGCTCGCCGCTGGAGTGCCCCGAGCCGGCTGGTTTCGGGGCTAAGCCGCCCCATAGAGGTGGTGAAATGGGGGGAGACTGCCAGCAGGGTTGAGGAGAGCCACACCTCTCCTCCTCAGCTGGCCATTACTCCCTTTACCAAAGGCGGTTGCAGCGGTGGTCATAAATGGCCACCTCAAAGAATAACTCAACCGGAAAAGAATGTGCAGGAGGAAGATAAGAAGATAAAATTTTGGTTGACCAGGTTAAACTGCAAAAGCAACAACTAAGGTACCCTGGAATTTAAACTAAAAAAAAAGTAACATTGTTCTCAAAGAAGATTTTGAAGCAGCGAAGGAGAGAGAAAAGGGAAAGGATTTGTTTTTTTTTTCTTCTCTCCTTTTCCCTATACTGACTGCTAAGAGATCTTAATAAGAAATTGGAAAAAAATCCACTTTGACATCAATAGGCATTTAAGCTGAAAATAAAATGTCAAAGGGATAATAAAGATTTCTGGATATTTAAAACCTTTTAAAAGCAGGAAAGGAGAGAAAAAGAATAAAAGGGCAGGATCTGGAAAAAAGGGAGGAGACTGCCTGGAATTAAAAGGAATTTACAGTAAAACCTCAACAAGACTTCTAAAAGATACATTTTAACTGAAACTTGGCAACAAAATAGTAGAACCCCAGGAAGAGAAAGTGGAAAAAAGAAGCATGAAGAAACAGCTTGGGAGTATTTGGATTATTTGGTGATCTCTGAATTTTTGGTTATTGCATTTGAATGACTAAAATCAATCGGGTGGGTTGTTCAAAAGTGTTTAAAATGGCACTGAAAATGGAACTTTAAAAGTACAAAGAAGATGCACAAGATGGGAGAGGTTCTTTTGGCTTCGTATTTCAATTCTTAGAAATGGAGATCTCGAACTATGAGAAACAACAAGAAATGCCTGCAGAACAAGAAAACTGGGACAAAGAAGAAGCCATCTTTAATGAACAAGTAATTTTATGTGGGGGGGGGGAGAAAG